GGTCGTAGATGGAGATTGGGTGCCGACCAAGGAGAGCGGGTAAGACAACATCATCCTCGGTTTGAGCTCTAGCTCTAGCAAGGTGAGAAAAAGCAAGGATGGTGATGGATAGAATAGAGTGAGATTTCATGATGGGCGTATTGTGATTGTGAGCTCATCATTCTTAGTGGCAGACGTTATCTCTCGTTATATACCGAACAACACGTTCCCTAAAGTTTGGCTTGCTGGACCATAATGTCGAAAGGGGAAATTGGTAGCCCCGAGTTATGGCTGCTGAAATACGATGCTCCAGAGGCGCAGTCTTCAACTTGGACGTCGTTCCTTGGCATTATGTTAGATGTTCTAGACTTCGCCACGAGCGACGCGTATTGCATGTCGCGGCAACTGGAAATGTGTCCTAGATTGATACCTCAACTAAGCTTGGCAAAGCATAGTCCAGGTCAAGTGCGGAGGTCGTGGTTTCGGAACTTAGACTTTTGTGCTAAGGCACCTTACCTTACCTACCTTACCTTAGCCCTGGCTGATTTGCCGAGTAAACAAACCCCTGCCAAGACCCGGTGATGTTCGCGCATACCATTCCCAAATTCTGATGTTTTCTTATTTGACCTTTACGAGTTGATGATTCGGGATCCCCAGCTAGGTAACTCCCCCTCTCGGTGTTCTTGCCGATGTGCACGCAGTTCCAACACATCCATCTTGATAAGAGTCGGCTCACGGCATACTGTTCTGCGGATATAATGCAGGCTGCGGAGATCGGTCGTCATAGATCGACGTGACGACGATTTCCCCACTCCGTGTGTTGTCACTGGTTTCTGTACCCAGAGAGCTTACTTTTGGCAGCTCATGTCTCCGCATCTTAACCATTTCTCTGGCTAAATGCGTTTCACTCCGTCGCGCCCTGAAGCACTGGATATCGTCACAATGAAGAACAACACCGTTGTCTTGGCATATAAGAGAGCGACCTCTCCACGCCCGGCCCAAAGAGGTAAGAGAAGTACCTCAAAGCAGTGAGGCCAACTAACTGTCCAATATGTCATCCCTCCTACTCCTCGCCGGCGCTGCGGCAGTCTCAGCGCAGTACATCCCCATCCCCTGGTCCTACGCCCAAAACGAGTCCGCCGTGCAGATCTCCATCGACACCAGCATAAAGCACCAAACGATGTTCGGTGGCGGCTGCTCAGGCGCTTTCGGCGTAGCTTGCGACCAGACGGGGGCCCACGGCCTCTCACCCGCCAATCAGCAGCTAGTATCCGGCTACCTCTTCAACGAGAACATAGGCGGTCTCACTATCCTCCGCAACCGCGTCGGCTCCAGTCCGACGGACGGTATCCTGGGGAGCTGCCCCTCGACCCCGTCGTCGACGTTCAACTACACCTTCTCCAGCAACGAGTCGACAGCCGACAGCTGCCAGCTAAAGATGACGCGGCAGGCCCTGAAGTCCAACCCGGATCTGTTCATCTACGCCGACGCCTGGTCTGCCCCGGGGTGCTTCAAGACGGACGCCACAGACATCAACGGCGGTTTCATCTGCGGCGTGCGCGGGAGCAACTGCACTCAGGACTGGCGGGAGGGATACGCCGACTACCTGGTGCAGTACGTCAAATTCTACGAGGAGAGGGGCATCAACATCTCCATGCTGGGCGCGTACAACGAGCCGGACTTCAACCCCGTCACCTACGCGAGCATGGAGTCGGACGGCTACCAGGCGTACGATTTTCTTAAGGTCCTCTACCCCACGGTGAAGAGGTACAGGAAGGACCTGCTCGTGGCCTGCTGCGACGCGACGGGCGCGAGGCAGGAGAGGAACATTCTGTATGAATTAGGGCAGGCCGGAGGGGATAGGCTGTACGATGTCGCGACGTGGCATAACTACCAGAGCAACCCGGAGAGGTCGTTTAATGTGGGCGACAGGCAGCCGAATATGCAGACTGAGTGGTCCGATGGGAGCGGCGGGTGGAATAACACCTGGGACACGACGGGACAGTTGGCGGAGGGGTTTCAGTGGGCGATGTACATGTGAGTTGCTCCCCATTACCGTCAGAACATGCAGGTACTAATGGCCCGATAGCCACAACGCCGTAGTCAACAGCAACACGGCAGGTTACCTCCACTGGTGGTGCTCGCAGAATAACACCGGCGGCACTGGCAGCGACGCGGTGTTGATACGGCTTATGAACGACAGCTTTGACGTTTCCGCACGGTTGTGGGCTTTCGCGGGCTATTTCCGATTCGCTCGTCCGGGAGCTGTACGTGTCAAAGCCACGAGCAGTGCCGAGAACATGTACGTCAGCGCCTTTGTCAACACCAACGGGACTGTTGCCGTGCCGGTTATCAACGAGGCGCACTTTGAGCGCCGTATTTCCGTCAGTTTTGCTGGGAGCGATCTCAGCGTTACAAAGGCGACGGTGTATCTGGCGGATAACGAGCATAACAACACCATGTCAGTGGACAGCTTCGGGATCAACGGGGCGAGGTTTGTGGCTAGGGTGCCGCCGAGATCGATGACGACGTTCTTCCTGGAATAGATGATGTATGAGAGCAGACAAATTGATCGCACAGCATGTTCCAACATTATCTGGTAACCAATGATTAGTATTCAGACCATACCTTCCCAGTCGTGGCCTACTATAAGAGAGCACTGCGAGAGTTACATCGGCGTCAACCTTCTGTGCGCTCTGGTACACGTGGTAGGCAAGGTTGATCTGTCCCTTGGAGGCATGGGAGACGGCGCCTCCGTCGGGTACGTAACCCATGACTTTGGTCGCTGTCCTGGGTCCGAACCAGCCGATGGAGCAACCGGTAGGAAGGTGGTTGACTGTTTCGGGCTGACTCACCTCGATCGCCAGTTGCTCGTGCTTTCTATCATGGGGGTGTGGGGAGCTAAGGTTCTCCTGTCGGACATTATAGGTTTAGAAGGCTGTGTTTGTACAGAGACCTGGGCAAGAAGTTGATTTACATTATCTCGTCCATCTTTGGCTTTTGACATTCGGGAGCGTTCGTGCTGTCCCTTGTGTGTGACGTCGGGAGGGGGAAAGACGATGGAAGATGAAGGGCAGTTCGACGGTGAGAACTCCTCACACTCTTTCAGCACCGTTGCCCAGCATGAGTTGAGCTTATACATGGGGGCAACAAAGGGGGTTGAAAAGTTTATATGTCAGAGGATGTGAAATTGTCGATGTTAGATGCACAGGCGTGTGACAGAACCAACTTGTTAGCATACGGTCAACGCATCAGCCTGCTGCTAGTGGCCGATGTCCGGTGCCAAAAATCTGTCTGGCAGATGAGTTATATAGACCTTGCATACCGACGGATGTACATTCATACAGAACCTTGCCAGGAGCTCGAGGACATGGTGCATCGTCTTCTCCTGGGGCCGGGGACAACGACCCCTTAAAACTGAGATCAACAGTCGAAGAGAGTCTTCCCGCTAGATTAACTGGAATCTGCCTGCTAAGTTAACCCAAGGCCTTTGTATCAATCAACCTCCTCAACAAGACGTCCCTCTCTCAAACTCCCGTCACGCAACAGCCGACTGTTCGCTAGGTGGTATCGTCGCATTCGCCAACGCGCACTGGACTATGTCGCTCGAGTACGTCTGACCCAGAGTCCAATCCAAATTCTGGAATTTGGTCTCGTTGCACGAGAGCTTCACATGGCCCCCTCCCAGGGCCTTGAAGGATATCCTGTTCGACAGTCAGTAACACCATCTCCGACCTCGCGCCTCACAATGAAAAAGGTTGGCACTCACGGATACCTCGGGTCCTGATCCCGACAAACCCAGCTCTGACTAACATTCACCATCCCGGTACTCCGATCAAACATGAAACTCGCCTTCGTCTTCCCCAACCCTTCCCCCGCGGTCTCGCTAGGATTGGCCTCGCACGGATACCACACCCCGCCGCCGTAAAAGAAATCCTGCAGCTGGGTGCTGCTCGCCTCGCAGTCCAAGTCCACGCCTGGGACGGCCGGGTGTTTGAGGGAGAAGGACACCCATCCGCCGTCGATCTGGTGCGAGGGCGTGCTGAAGATGATGGAGGAGTGGAAGTCGAAGTTGGTCAGCTGCCACTTCCAGTCCGAGAAGGAGGCGCGGGCGCAGCCGCATTTGCCCGTGGAGACGGTGCAGTTGTCGCGTTGTTGGAGGAGGGGGAGGGTCGATGCGGTGGAGGGGGAGAGGAGGAGAGCGAAGGAGAGGAGGTTTAGAGAGGATAGGAGGATCATGGCTTTTTTTTTTGTAGGTTGGATGTGTTGTTGTGAGGTTGTGAGGTTGTGAGGTAACAGGTTGTGAGGTAACAGGTTGTGAGGTTGTGAGGTTGGTATGCTTAGGTGTTGGTCGTAAGCTGAGAAGTTGCCTTGTATTAGTCGGCATAAAATGAGTTTGAGGGCCGCAAAGGGATCCGGTTGAATCCTGCTGCGGCGTAGGCCTTATAGGATCTGCACACACCCTTCTGCCTATGCAAGGTCAGCTCGAGTACGACATGCCCAGAGCCAGATCCGATCACGGCCCGTTGACAGGGCAAACAAAGTCATCGGGTACAACCTGTCATCGCTGTCAGTTCAAGGGAAACAAGCTCAGGACAAACTGTCCAAGAATAGGAATTCGGAGCAGATGACGTGTGGTGGGCAGATCAATGTCTCTCGTATTCCGTTGATCACAGGCTATATTCTTATGCCACTATAGAGCGGCCGAGGTGATAGGTCCAACCACTTCCTATGCAAGCAAGCGAGGCATGGCGATGTAACGCCGGTAACCGCCATTCTGTACTTGGTAGGATTCCTGCAGTGTTTGCCTCGAGTCTTAGCAACGAACTTGGTTTGCAATATACTTCGATGCGACTTGGTGAGGTATTCAGATTCAATGGATGTTTGTGGCATACGAACATTGGCGGTGAGCTTCTTGTTCGACACTGACAAAATGGAACAGAAAGACATGGCTGGCTGAGTCTAAGAACACAATGCCAAAAAGAAGGTGGGTGTCATGAGAAAACAAAAGAAAAGGAGATTAGCTGCGCTCCGTTTCGATCGGAGGACCTCCGGGTTATGAGCCCGGCTGTTATTTTGTTGTTAGTACAATGGGACCCGACTTTTTATCAGTGGGTTTTGGTGACTTACCGCGCTTCCACTGCGCCACGCAGCTGTTGATTGATGGCAGGATCCACGTGTATTTGCGTTATCGGTTGAGGCCCGTCACAGGTGGAACCAGGAGACGGGAGTTTGCTAATAGGCCGCATGAATCACTTGAGGCGAGCCATGGGATGAACATGCACAATGCAAGACAGTACAAGTTTATCTCGAGCACGTGTGTCGCCGATAAGCGTATAAACACAACAGGCGTCCAATAGTTTCTAAGACTGTAGGGTCTTTTAAGCAGGGCTTCATTGTGGAAAAGGTGTGGACAGCACCTATTAATCGACGACTGTTGCACAGAAACAGTAGACCTGAGGCACGAGGATCTACTTGGAGGTGTCGTAGACCTGTAGACCTAGCTAGCAAGCTTTGAGCCAAAGAAGTAATGCGGACCTGACAGTGTATTAATGTTAGTGTGTGCTAAGAGGTGTATTCGTGACTGATTCTATTATTGAGAGGCTCTTGTCCGCTTAATGGTAGTTTAATGAATGAGAGAAATACTAGTGATGATCACATTCACATGTGGCTATGGCAACAACATGTGTGCCCGTCGATGCGTCGACTTTGAGTATGTTCATGTCTATATTATCTGACGATCTCCCAGTGCTTTGACTGTTACGGGAGGCCAAAGTCGTGATGAAATGGCTGAATATTATGGTAAAGGGAGGCATCGTCGAGTCACACCACAGTACTCACACGGCAGGAAAGTGCGTCGACACAGTCTCCTGGGCAGGCCGCAGGAGGCATTCTGGGACACTGCCAGTGACTGTTACATGTATGATCTCCCGTATGAGAAATATCAGGTCCAGTTCCTGCTTGCGCCTTCCAAATTGAGAAAACCAAAGCTAAGCCGCGGTGGATGATCAACTGTGGAAGGGACAACTGCCCTGGGCAGCTCAAGCGAGTAATAGCCAGTAGAAGGAGTGTCCGAAGAACCAAAGACAGCCCAGTGCAAGAGTGAGTCCGTACCGCAGTGTTAGCGTCTTTGGCACAATTCGCTCCCTAGATCTTCAGAATTTCTGCTCCTCCGGAAATCCCAATTTCTCACCACCACAACCGCCACACCAAAGACAGAGGTAGGATACCACAACACAACCTCCAATCCTCGATACAACTTGAGTACGGCTTTCTTTCGTGGTCGATTTACTAACTCTGTTGTTTTTGAAGTCTTAGATCATCGGTAAAGACTCCCTTTTTTTGTTTAGTGTCCCGGTATGTAGCCTTCTCCTCGTCGCCATCAAATGTCCTAAGGCATTCCTTCAAGACCTTGGTCGCTAACCTATTCTTTTTTAAGCCACAACCACTCCCAACCCTCAGTGAGTTCTTGTTTTTACTTCCATACCTTTTAAACCTGGTCAGAGCTTGACTTTGCTTCTTCGAGTTCCTCCTGTGATCCCTCAAGTCGCGGAGTCGTTGTCCAGTCGTCCCCCCAGCCCGCCGGCCTGCGACAATCACCTGTCCGTCGTTTCCACAATATGGACCCTTTCTCCTTCGTCCTCCCCTTCGTCCTCATCTCCCTCCTCTCCTGGCTCATCTCCTTGGCTTCCAGGTTGTCTCCTGCCTCGTCTCCTTCCTTGCTTTCTCCCTCTGTGGCTTTCTCGTCTTGATCTCTGCCCTTGAACTGGGGCAGTCCAAATTCGAAACCACAAGCCACTTACCTTCTACAGCATGTTCGACCGTACCTGTACTGACATGTACCTAACAGCCAACCTCACAGCCACCGCCCCACCCCCATCCCAGCAAGATGGAGGAGGACCTCATCGATCTCTTGGACGGCCCGTCCACCAACGGCGCAGCCGCTCCACCTCCCGCTCCGAGCCCGAGGCCTCCTGTGGGTCAAGACCGAAGAGCCGCCCGCCCCAACGCTCGCCTGCGCGACCACATCTCCCCCCGTAACAAGGACTTCTCGTCCTTGAAGGTGCTGCGCCAGCAGGTACGGTACTTCCCGAAGAAGTTATTTCAACAGCAGCTAACCATTCTCCGCACGTAGGGCTGGCGCGACCCTGCTGCCGACGAGTACTACGCCGAGCAGCGCGCCCTGACCGCCGCAAACAACCCCGGAACCAAGTTGGAGTACTTCGAGCAACGTTGCGAGGCCGCCGAGGAGCTGGACCGCGCGGCCCGGTGCATGACCATTGCCGGCCAGCCGGTCCGTAAGGCACTCAAAGAACCGAAGATCGAGGCCATCCTCGATCTGTGCTTCGCTCCCGGCGGCCTCGCCGTCACCGCCATGAAGGCCAACCCCCAGGCGTACATGTGTGGCATCACCCTTTTCGGCGGCACCGACATCATGACCTATCATCGCAACTACACCAACGCAAACGTCACATTGGATTTCCACGACGTTAACACGCTAGTCGGAGCCATGGGCTTTAAGAAGGAAGAGATAGATCCCGACTATCTTGACACTGAGAACTTCATCTTTGGCCAGAAGTTCCCCCGTATCCCCGAATTCGACCTGGTCTTCTGCGGCGGCGCCACCAAGCACGACCAGGACCATGAGAGGCCCACCTCCGACTCGGTTACGGACTGTCTCCAGCTTACCCTGAGTCAGCTTCTCATCGCCACGAACCGCATCTCTGAAGGTGGCACTATGGTCGTCCTCCTCCACCGCCCGGAGACTTGGATCACCTGCCAGCTGATCTACATGATCAGCAAGTTCGCCAAGATCAATCTCTTCAAGCCGCGCGGAGTGGACCGGATGTACAAGACCTTCTACCTCGTCGCTAAGGAGGTCAAGCCCAAGAGCTCTACTGCCCAGGATGCCGTCAACAAGTGGAAGAAGACTTGGCAGCGCCTGATGTTCGACATGCCAAACTCCAGGGGCATCGAGGATATTATCATCGCCGGCAAGGGGGTCGACAATATCATCGCGGAGTTCGGCGAGCAGCTCCTGAAGCTCGGCGCCCCTGTCTGGTTCGAGCAGGCTGAGGCGCTCAAGAACCCCCCCTGGAAGAAGGAGGCCAAGAAGGACGAGGTCGATGACGAAGAGGTGAGCGACGATGAGGTCGAGAAGAACTACACCACCATGCCGATTACTCATCAGAAGTTACAGAACCACAACATCTTGATGGGGTTCGACCATCAGCAGGACGTCAACCTCAACTGGCCGGTCGTCCAGCAAGCTAACAACGACAACATCGCCATGCCAGCCCCCGGCGCCATGGAGAACAAGAAGGTGGACAAGACGGTTGACAGGGAGGAGTTCATGAAGAAAGTCAAGGAGGGTGATGCCAAGAAGATGCCGATAGATGCTCTCGTCGGTGGCATGGCCGGACTGAGGCTCGAGGACTAGCCAGATGGGGACGCGTAGGGGCTCAGAGATCGTGTGTCTGCTTCCGTTCTGACTTTCTGTTGCGTTACGTTGGAGTTCACTGGTCACTAGCGATACCCCCTTTCGGATTTGTACAATACTACTGGGAGCACACACTGGCACATTACAGAGGGGTTGATGGTCTGTTGTTCTAGGACAGACTCTAGGGTCGAGATAGTACAACAATCTGATCTCTGTCACCAAAGAAAGGGGCCAGACCCGATAAATTGTTGCCATGATGTTGCATTGAAAGTTATCAAGAGATCGTGCTCGTTTAGATCACTAATCACTAACACACTGTTCCCCATGGCAGGATGTCTGGCCAAATCTCTTGCATATTCCGTCGAGCCGATATGCGGTCCCAGTAGCACCTGGCTCTTCTGGCGCCGCCACCCGATCAAACACTGTAAACCCCTTCTCCGTTTCCCGTGAGAACAAATGCTATATAGGACCCTAGCCGGCAGGCCAGACTCACTCCTGTCAAGATCTATCGGGACATGCGATCAGACATACAAAGCCCGCGCCTGCGCATTGCTCCAACTGTTTGCTCCCGACTCTCCCAATGGCAGTACCAAGCTACCCTCCCGGAAGCAATTCCCCCTCAAACAGCCCCAACAACATTCCCAGTCACCCCCATCAGGCCCCGTCTCCTAATGCCCATCTCCCGCGTGCTCACATCCCTCGCGCTCGCCAGCCGACGCGTCGCCCCCCGAATGCCCGCAGCGTGCGCCGTAGTAACCACCTCCCGGTCCCCATCATCATAATGCCATGACGGCCGACAAATGCGCAGCAAACTGCGCCGCCTCGTCGACCTCGACGCACGTCATCTCCAGACAAGCGGCCATATAGCACACTGGCCTGTCGAAGGCGTGGTGTCTGCAGCACTCGAACCCGCATGTTGAGTTCGTTGGATGTCGAAGGTGGAAATGTTGATGAAGAAGGATGAGGAAATTCATTTCGATTTTGTGCGAGAAGACAGGCTTTTGATATGTCCTCTGAAGGTCATTTGGGTTTGATGCTTTGACCATTTCTCTATCGTGATAAAAGGTCCAGACTCGGCCATGGCAGTGAGGTTGTCCGTCCTTCCTGAAGTCATGGCCTCCAGTTCCAAGTCTGATTCTCGAATGAACTTCGCTGCAAGGAAATTGGGGTGCTTGCTCGACTCAAGATCAGACGTGCCGCAAATTAGAACTGCAAGCAATCTCGGCATCATTATGCTGTCGGGCTCGTGGTGCTTGAGAAGTTGCATCGCCTTTTGCGCAAGATGATGTTTTTGTGGGAAGTTGCAATATGGCGATGCTGTAGTCTAGTCGGCCTTTGATTGAAAAGGGGTAAAACTAACGTACGTTGTCTGAGGGTTCTCGACAACAGTGCCACCCTTCAGAGAGAAAAAAAACAGAAGACGTGTTTCTATGATGGCAGTAGCAACTCGCCAGGTGCATGGGAGTGAACCCTGAGGAGAAAGAGCAGGCGCCACTCAGCCTATGTTGCTGGAGGTCAAGATTGCCTGAACCAGACGATGCAAGGAAGACTGGGCAATTCAGTCTAGCAGCCAAATGGATGTCTTCGGTCACCCATCGCCATCATCTCGTGGCAACAAACCGACAACATCGTCAAACCCACCGGCATCAACATCACCACCAGCAGTCTTACACCTCCCTCGCTTTAGGTTAAAGCATCCGGTACTCAAACTCATT